TCTGATTTAGGTGCCAGGAAATTCTTTTTTTTTTTTTTTTTTTTTTTTTTTTTTGAGACAGGGTCTTGCTATGCAGTTCTGGCTGGCCTTGAATCCACTATAGAACCCAGGCTGGCCTCAAGCTGGCAGTGATCCTCCTGCCTCAGCCTCCGAAGTGCTGGAACTACAGGTGTGCCCTGCCACTCCTGGCCAGTGTCATTATTTCTGTGGCTCCATGTATTTGTCTGGAGCCTGGGGAAGGGAGGAGTGACTTGTCCAAGGTGGGCGTGATGACCCTTATTCTGAGGAGGTTTCTTTGAGCTAGGTAGGTCTTCTGACGAGCAGGGATTTATCAGGAAAAAGAGAAGAAGGCAGAGTGTCCAAGATAGAGGGCCTGATGGGAGTGAGGCATTGAAATGATGAGAAGCAGTGGCACAGTCTGGTATTGGCTGAGTGCTAGGGAGGATGAGGACCAAGCCTGCACGTAGCGGTGGGTGAAAGCCAGACAGGGAAGATCTGGGAGACTTCCGGAGGGCTGAGAAGGCATTAATAGATCCATGCGAGGTATTTCTCTGGCGTCACTTAACAAAGACATGTCATGAATCAAAAACTGTGAGATCAGCAATCAAGTTAATTAAAAGGAGTAACCGCATTAACACTAGTGGGTTTGAAAGCAGCAAGGGCTTGAGTGTGGTAGGAAAGGGACATTGTACTTGCAGGGATGGCATAAGGAAAAGATGAAATCACTTAAATTCAGCTCCTCTTTCCTTTTGTGGAGACTGACACTTTTTGGAGCCTGGCTCCAACCCACATCCATCAGAACATATACATAACCCTCTGCCTACGTGTATCCTCCCCAGATGTGTGTGTGTGTGACAGAGAGAGAGAGAGAGAGAGAGAGAGAGAGAGAGAGAGAGAGAGAGAGAGAGAAAATTGCCTCTCATTCTATCTGCTATCTCCCAGAGATAACCTCTGTTAACATTTCAGGGCACAACCTTCCAGACTTTTTTTCCCTATGCATATTTATTTATACATTATAAAAATGGGATCGCATCATGCATATAGTTTTATTATCTATTTCTTCCACTCGACAATATATTGTGAACATCAGCACATGCAGATACACATCACTGTTTTAAACTGTGGCACTGTATTTCCTTTTGTAGGGATGACTGTCCCCTCATTTACCAAACTAATCCTCTCTTGATGGACAGTTAGGTTTCCAATTGTTTGCCCTCATAAGCAATGATGTGATAAATATTCCTGTACACATATCTCTACGTACTTGAGGGATAAATTTCTAGAAATGGAACTGTTAAGTCAGAGATGACACACTTTCTGAAGGCTTTTGATGAAGGGAATGAAGGGTTCTTTTGTCAGAGGAAAGACCATTTCCCACTGTCCTGAATAACCTTGGGTAATAATTGTCCTTCATATTTGCTAAGCTAGTAAAAAATATCTTATTGTTTCTATTTTTCTTTATTTAGTTCTAAGTAAGGCTGAGCTTTTTGCTATGTCATTTGTGTTTGTTCCTTATGAGTCATCATTTCATTTCCTTGGCCAGTCTTATTAAGACACCTAACTTAAAAAAGTAGGATGATCATCTGAAAAAAAAAAAAAGACATCAAAATTTTTATTTTATATTAGGTTACTTATATATTAGGGGTGTTCTTTTTTATTTTTATTTATACTACTTTTGAAAATCAATTTTGCTGTGTCATAGATGTGGTAAACATCTTTTCCATTTTTACCTTTTAGGTTTGTATATAGTATTTTGTTATATTGATGTTTAAATTCTTTTTACCAACTATATATATCTTTTTTCTTAGATTTGTGTCTTTGGCTAGGTGTGGTGGTATATACGTGTAGACCCAGCACTTGGAAGGCTGAGGCAGGAGGATTGCCATAAGTTCAAGGTCAACCTGAATCGCATAGGGAAACCTTGTCTCAAAAAGATGAAAAAAAACCAAAATCTGCCTCTGAGGTTATACTTATGGTACAGAGTCAGCTTTATTTTTTAGGGCGAGCTTTTAAGGGACTGTTATTGGAAGGTGTCCATGTGTGTGTTGACTCAGAAATCTAGTTTTACTCCCCCCCAGATTTCTATGTCCAGCTGCCAATTCAGTATTCTTACTTAGAAGTTGGATTCATATTTCACACTTGCCCTGTCCCCCAAAACTTTGATGTTTGTTGGGCAAAGTGGCATGTGCCTGTAATCTCAGCTCTTTGGAGACTGAGGCAAGAAAATTGTAGGTTCGAGGTCAGTTTGGGCAAACGAACTTGTCTCAAAAAAAAAAAAAAGTGACAAGTATAGTTCAATACTCCCCAGGTTCAGTCCTCAGTAATACAAAACAAACCCTTCCATCTTTTATTCTTTCACCTCCCTCCCTGAATGCCCCTGACTCAGGAAAAGCTCTAGTGTTCCTATGTTGCTCGAACCACAAACCTGCGTTATTCTTTTTTTGCTGCCTTTCCCTCTTAGAACTGACCTATCCACAATCATGTCTGTGTTCCTTGCAAACTGGGTCTAGAGCTTGTCTGTGTTCTTTGCACCAGCTCTTGCTACCCTAGCAAAGGTTTCTGGTCACCAGTCTGGACTTCTGCAATGCCTGCTGCCTTGGTCTCTGCTCACCCCCACCACCAGTCCGTTCTTCACCCAGCAACCAAAGTGAGCTACTAAAAGCAAATCACCTTACTCCTCTGTCTGGGATCCTCCTGGAACATTCCGGTGCACCCAGGATAGATCCAAACCCCTCTGCAGGCTCTGAAGCGCTGCAGCAACAGGTCCCCTCTTTTGTCTCCAGCCTCAGTTTCTCCATGCTTTCTCACCAATTCAGCCACCCAAGTTTTCTTACTCTTTCCTGGCTCAAGGCCTTGGTCCTTTCTGTTGCTTCTGCCTGGGAAGCCTTTCCCTCAGAGCTTTGCATGGTTTTCTTTCAGCTTCTGCTCAGATGTCAGAGAGCCCTTTCCTGACCACATGGCTCCTTTCTTTTCTTTTTGTTATGCTCCTCCTTTACCTCAGTTTTTCCCCCTAGTGCTTATTTCTGTTTGCCTTTATATTATTTATTATTATTATTATTATTATTATTATTATTATTATTATTTGTATCAGGGATCTAACTCATGACCTTGTGCTTGCCAGGCAGGCATTTGTGCTACTGAGCTAAATCTCCTACCTTCTATTTACCATTTTGACAGATATTTCTTATTTGTTGTCATAGATCCCTCCTTCCCTGGAATGCAAATTTCGTGAAGCCAGGGACCTGGGTATTTGGGAGGTGTGTGCATAATAAACATTTTCCTTTGTTGTTGTTGTTTTTTGAGACAAAGTTTCACTATGTAATTCAGGCTGGCCTTAAATTCACTGTGTAGACTGGAACATGCAGTGATCCTCCTGCCTCAGCTTCCTGAGTGCTGAAATTACAGGTGTGCACTACCACGCTCAGCACTAATAAACATTTGTTGAACAAGTATATGTAATTTGTCAGCATGTGTCAGTGCAATGTCTGTGTGTAGCTGTATCTCTGGATGACATCTGTGAGAGTATGTGTGAAACCATGGGAATAACAATGAGTTGTGTGAGTGAGTAGGGTAGCTTCTGCGAATGCCTTGCCAACAAGGTCTGTGTGTGTGTGTGTGTGTGTTTGTGCAGGAAACATATGTGTGCTGTTATGTAACTGTGTACACATGTGTGCATGCTGTCAGTGTCTGGTTATGTATCATATATCTGTATCCATCTCGGTGATGGTAGAGATCTGAGAAACCTGGGCATGTTCTTCCTCTTATCAAATGGACCTGCTGTGGTTCCAGTCTCCCATACCTGGGAAATAGAAAACATCTTCGTATCTTTGGGTGACTGAAGACATGGGGTTAAATTCCAAAAATGACATTTCATGCTGCTGCAGGGTGAATGCTCACATGAGGACTGCTAGAGTTGGAAGGGGATCTGGGGCTGATGAGACTTGGACAGTCTTGTGCTGATCCAAGATGTCTCAGTGGGAAGGATGTATTCTTCGATAAGTGGATGATATTCTTGGAGTAATCAGCCACAGAGGAACTAGTCTAGAGCTTCATGAGTGGGGCAGGCCTTGGATTGGTTGGGTGGCTTCAACATATTACTCTTCTTTCTCTAGGTCTCAGTAAGCTCATCTGCAAATGGGGTTTGTTGTTGTTGGCCTGTGTGCCTCTTGGAGATTAGATGACTTTAAAGGAGGTGATGATAGTGGATGTATGACTGTCATAATAATAGAATTTTTATGTCCATGCAGCATGTTAGGGTTTTAATCTGCTATATCATCACAGTAAATGCCTCGGTGGGCAATCCAGCTCTGAACTTGGTGTCAATGGGCCTTAATAGGTGTCTGTTGAATAAATATACATATGACTGAATCGATGAATGTACAACTAAGTAAATGCTTGGGTAATTGAGTGGAGAGATGATTGCATAAAGCAGCAAATGGACTGGGAAATCACAAAGACTACCATTGTTGTACACATACAGTACCAGGGTCAACTGCAAAAGTGGCTCTTAATCCTTGCAACAAACCCAAGAGATTGCTACTATTGTTAGTTCCATTTTGCAAATGCAGAAACTGAGGGTGAGAGAAGTTACTTGACGTGCTAGAGCCACAAATCTTCTAAGTGGCAGAGCTGAGACTCTAACCCACACAGTCTGACTCTAGAGCGCAGAGGATTAAACCTCAATCTGGCCTGGCTAAGTGAGTCACTGAATGAGTGGCTGCATGAAGGAATAAATGCAAAGCCTTCTGTGAGCAAGATAAAACACTTTTTTTCCCTTTGGGTGGTGGTGTTTGGGCTCCACTTCAAGGCTTCAAGCATGCTAGGCAGGTGCTCTATGACTGAGCTGCATCCTCTGCTAAGAGAAGTCACTTTCTGATGGGAAGGCAGGAGCTCTTGGGAGTGAGGTGGGTATCTAAACTAGATAGGGGCAGGGTCTCTCCTAAGGTACAGTTCAAAGGCCTGGCCTTTCATCCCCTCTTCCTCTTCCCTGTCTGCAGGTGGATGCTGCCATGCAGCACTACGGGGTGAACGGCTACTCCTTGCACGCCATGAACTCACTCAGCGCCATGTACAACCTGCACCAGCAGGCGGCCCAGCAGGCCCAGCACGCCCCTGACTACAGGCCATCAGTGCATGCACTCACACTGGCTGAGCGCCTGGCTGGTAAGAGCCCTGAGGATGGGACTTTGGAGACAGGACTCTGGAAGGAAGTTGCTCCAGAAGGGGGAAGGAGCACTTGTAAGCTTGCTCCAAGTGGCACAAAAATCCCCAGGTCAATTAGCACAAAAATGACAATTTCAAATCTATAGTGCTCAATTTGACAGTGCTTCTACCAAATCTGTGCATTATATCTGTAGGGCCCCTTGTTTGGTAGCACTAAGCGGGGCCCTGAAGCAGCCCTGTGCATCAACTTCCCATGACAAGCCTGGAAGGGACGTGTCTGTTAGGTCAGTCTCACAGATGGAGAGACAGGTAGAAGGGCATGAGACTAGTCCACAGGCCAGTAGCTAGAGAGTAGTTGGAAGAGGGCTGGAGTGCCCAGGAAAGGAAATTGCAGGCAGAGGGACTCCTAAATAATAACAGCTCCCATAGTGTGAATACCAGTTCTGGGCCTGGAACCATTTGAAGCTGTCTTTCTCTCTACATCAAACTGTTTAATTCCCATAAAAAGAGATGATCTCCATCTTTTAACAAGGAAACTGAGACTTGAAGAGGTTCAGTCTGGGTGAAAGTGGGATTGGAACATGACATCATGGCTGAAGAATGTGAGCTGTGGAGCCACAAATATACCATCATTAAGGGCTGCCCACTCCCTCCAATTCTCTGAACCTCAGTTTCCCCTGGGACAGTGGTAGTGTCCATTCTCTAGGATGGCTGGGAGGTTAGTTGAGAAACATATCTAAAACAGTCAGCAGAGCTTAGTGGCAGTGTTTAGAAGTTATCAGCACCCAACACCCACGGTGAGTACCAAGTGCAGTCCCTGGAGTCCCCCACTCCTGTTTCAACTGGTTTTTCCCCTGCCTGCTTTTTAATGGATATGAGAAAGATTCAGAGACATACTGAGGAGCTTGATTTCCTGGGAGGTGATGCCACCCACTCCATCCTGTTCCAGCCAACCCTTGAGCAGCTGGTGAACCTGTACAGGTCCAGCCTTGTACCAGGTGGCCCTCAAGGACTTGGGGGAATTTCTGGAGAAACCAGGTGCCTACTGATCCCTGAGAGGGCATGACAGAAAGAATGCAGCCAGGGACTAATGGTAGGGCATCTCAGAGTAGCAGTATCAATCGGTGGAGTCAGGGAGGGCTCTCTGTAGGCCACTGGGTAGGAATCAGCCTTTTAAAAGGCACAGTAAGAAGGAAGGACCAGCAGGAACTGAAGCATAAAAATGAGATGGTGTCTGAGGATTCCCAGACCTAAGTAGAGGTGTCCACCTGGCAAGGAAGATGAGGTGGCCCATCCCATTCCTTCAGACCCTGCCAGGCCTCTGAGCAAGACTTGGTGGATAAAATGGAGTACTTGGTTATCTTCTCTAGATCAGTGTGAGACATTAGTGTCCAGTGGAGGCATGGAAGTTCTGCCCTGGTTGTGGCTACTTCCTTTTCTTGAAGTGAATTCCTTGTGCTCAACCTGGTGGTGATATCAGCTCCTGTCAGTGTTCCAGGACCCAGAGACCAATGCACAAAGTCAGGGGCAGAGGCTCATGTCTAACTGGCATAGGCAGAGGAACTGGTGCATTCAGCCCACCCCATAGTTCTCTATCTCTTGAGAAGGAGGCGATGAGCCCCAGTCAGGTCCTTGCATCTTCTAGCCAGAAGCAGACATTATACTAGGTAGTTTTTGTGTTACCAGAAACAAGGGCAGACCCTAGAATTGATAGCCTACAAGCTCTGTCTCCCCTCTAGGCTTGCTGGGTTGCAATCTGGTGCCTTTGTCCTTCTGTGCTGTGGAAGGCACTCAGAGGGTTAAGAGTGAGTGCAACCAGCCTTGTTTTGAGCTCTGAGGACCCTGACAGAGCCAGACTATTCAAGAAACAAAAAAAGTAGGAAGCTCAGGTCTTGCCGTCATAGATGCATAGGCCATTGGATAAGATGAGATTTAATGTGGCAAACAAAAATCAAGTGCTGGTAAATTCTGCTTGCCTGCTTTGATTTCCCCTAAGAAGATCTGGAGATAAGGACCATTCCTCAGTTTGACTTCTTACAGTCAGAGGCCAGATGCTTAAGAAAGCTTTCGTGTCTGGAATCTCAGGGCCATAAGATGATAGACCATGGTCATGTAGAACTAGCATCATGTAATCTCAAATTATTATACTCACAGTATCCTGAGACTTCAAACATCGTAGGGAAATACCCATTTTACCCCCTCCACCCATTTCAGCCAGATAAGGAAGATGACCCTTGATCACATACCTGATAGCTATTCTGTTTTTGTTTTTTTTTAAGACAGTCTTTCTATGTGCTTCAGATTGGACTTGATCTCACTTTGTACCCCAGGGTATTCTTGAACTTGTGGCAGTCCTCCTGTCTCTGCCTCCTAAGTGCTGGGATTACAGGCATGTGCCACTATGCCCAGCTCTGATAGCTATTGTTGAAGCTGAGTTAGACTTCATAGCAGATAGTAGGGTGAAGAGGTTTTGAGAACCCAGGCAGTGGAGAGGACATGGGGAATTTCCAAGGGCAAAGAGCTGCCAGCTCTGGCAGCTACCTGGCTGTTTGGAGTGGGTCAGAGCAGGACTGGTTCCAAAATCTATTTCCCATAATTAAATGGCCCCCCCCTCTTGTTGCCCTCCAACGGCTGTACATTTCAAGACATCATCTTGGAGGCCCGCTATGGCTCCCAGCACCGCAAACAGCGTCGCAGCCGCACAGCGTTTACAGCCCAGCAGCTCGAGGCCCTGGAAAAAACCTTTCAGAAGACTCACTACCCAGATGTGGTGATGCGTGAGAGGCTGGCCATGTGCACAAACCTGCCTGAGGCCCGGGTGCAGGTAGGGCCCAGCTCCCTAAGACCCTGTAGAGAAGCACCAGCCCACCCATTTGGTCCCCAGTGTCCATGAGTCGGCATCTGCTTCATCTGTGCCTCGGTGCAGCTGCTCCCTCCACTGATATCTTCAGCCACAGGAGAGGCGATCTGGGAAGGATATCGGGGTGGGATTCCTAGAGGTGCGGAAAACCACATTATCACCCATATCTTACCCCAGAGCATGCCACTGTACAACAACCCCACTTCTTATCTTTTCCCTACGTCTAACTGTTCCTTTCTTTGTCCCTAGGTGTGGTTCAAGAACCGCAGGGCCAAGTTCCGGAAGAAGCAGCGCAGCCTGCAGAAAGAACAGCTCCAGAAGCAGAAGGAGACTGAGGGCTCCCATGAGGAAGGCAACATTGAGCCAACCCCAGACACTCAGCTGGAGACGGACCAGGCTCCTGGTCTACCCAGTGGTGATGCCCCTGCTGAGCTTCACCTGAGTCTGTCGGAGCAATCCGCTAGTGAGTCAGCTCCCGAGGACCAGCTGGACCGTGAGGAGGACCCCCGGGCTGGGGCTGAGGATCCCAAAGCTGAGAAGAGCCCCGGGGCTGACAACAAGGGTCTGGGCTGCAAGAGGGGCAGCCCCAAGGCAGGTGAGGCTTGGGGGACACTGCACTCTAGCTGAGTCTACCCTGTGGGGGCCTAAGTCTGTGATGGGTATGAGCAGGGCAGAGTCCACAACTAGCACTCAGGAACAAGGCCAGTAACACAGGGGTGGCTTGTAGACCTGGGCTAGGTGTTTGCTCTTTAGTTACTGTGGGATCTGTGGAAAGTGCTAGAGCATTGATGGCAAGGCTATGGCACATGTGCCACAGTGGGCTGTGTTATCATGGAAAGTTCTGAAAGGTTCGCCATCACTGGTTCAGAGGGTCCTGGGGAGGGATTGTGAGGCAAGGAGGAACATTTGAGGAGCTCAGGACAAAGATGATTTACCAACCATTTGAAGTACTCCAATGTTTCAGTAGCCAATATAGATGTACCAGTGTATACTGAGTGAGTACCATGTTAGTACTAGGGAGTCCCGTGTGCAGCAGTCACTTCTCCCTACATTCCTCTTTTCTTTCCATTCCTCTCCTTTCTAGCCCCTTCCATTCTCCTTTCCCTTTCTCCTCTCCCTTCCTCTCTCTGTCTCTGTCTGCTTCTGTTTCTCTCTCTCTGTCTTTCTTAAGTACTGGGGATCGAACCCAAGGCTTCACACTGAGCTACATCCCCAGACCGTTTTATATTTTTATTTTGAGACAGTTTCACCAAGTTGTTATCTTGCCTAGGCAGAGGTTGAGTTTCCTAGCCTCCTGTCTTAGCCTCCCAAAATGCTGGGATTTCAATCATACCACCACTACCACACCCAGCTAAATTCACCCTTTTCTTTGGATTTGGTCCAATGTTCTTTCACCTCAGGAGTCTGATTCCTCAGTGTTGCTTGTAGAGAGGGCACCTGTCAAGCCAGTGTAGAGGATGGGACTCTTTGAGGTTGGCACCTGTCTTCTCATCTCTTGCCTACAGAATTGCCCTGAGCTGGAGGCCCCTTCCCCAAGCTGTATTTATGAAGGAGCAGAGCTCTGGCATGTGGCATGTCCCAGACACAGACACCAAGCCTATGCAGGGAGGGCACAGGAACTGTGAGCTCAGGGCTGGAGGGAGGCAATAGGAGCTGTGGACAGCAGGGGAAGGAGAGGCAACAGCTCTTGAAAAGATAAAGAGGCTCTCTAAGGACTCAGATATGGGGGCCCTGGTCATGCTCCCTGGAGCTTCCTCAGGTCTCCCTTCCCTGAAGCCTCTGAGTGACTCTCGGGGGGATGTCCTGGCTTGGAAGGGATGGATATGCCTTCAGTCAACGCTTTGCTGTCAGCAGTGCCACCGGGATGGGAGGCTGAGCACACCTCTTGGCAGACGAGTGCCCTCATCCTGAGTACTTGGTTCTTGGTTTTCTGCTTGCAGATTCCCCTGGCAGCCTGGCCATCGGTTCTGCTGCCCCCGGAGGCGGACTTCTGGGCCCCTCCCACTCCTATTCCTCGTCCCCGCTGAGCCTCTTCCGTCTGCAGGAGCAGTTTCGCCAGCACATGGCGGCCACCAACAACCTGGTTCATTACTCGTCCTTTGAAGTGGGAGGCCCGACCCCCGCTGCAGCTGCTGTGCCCTACCTGGGTGTCAATGTGGCCCCGCTGGGCTCCTTGCACTGCCAGTCTTACTACCAGTCCTTGTCTGCGGCCGCCGCTGCCCACCAGGGCGTGTGGGGGTCCCCGCTGCTGCCTGCACCCCCTGCAGGCCTGGCACCAGCCTCTGCTGCCCTGAACAGTAAAACCACCAGCATCGAGAACCTGCGGCTCCGGGCCAAGCAGCACGCAGCTTCCCTGGGACTTGATACGCTGCCCAACTGACTGGTCTTCAGCCCAGCCAAGGGTTGTGGGTGACCCCAGCTAGTCCCATGGTTTTGCCCGGAAGGCTCAAGGAGCCCAGGATCTGGGGCCTGAGTCTTCTCCCTGTCCTCTTCCTCAGAGCCACAGCCCCAAGTGAAACCTTTGCGCCCTCTGCATGGCCCTGCTTGGACCCCACGGACGCAGAATGGGGAGGAGGTGAGGGAAGGCTAGCTTCCCTCTTCAGTGTCGCCTCCTCCCTGCCCCGCCCACGTCCACCCCTAGTAAGTTGATGTGTGGAATGTGAGATATAATTATAAATATATAAAACTATTTTCAAGCACTACCTGCCCCAGGCCCCTACCCTGCTCCCACTGCTTCTCCCTGCCAGTCTCGCTCTCCCTGCAGCATCAGCAATCCCCTGCAGTTTCCCTCCTCTTTATCTTCCTCTCCCTACCTCTCTCCTGGTCCCAGACTCTCTCTGTCTTCCCCACCCTGATCTCTCTCCCACATCTCTTCCTCCTGCCCCTTTGGTGCTGGCTGTGTTGGTGTCATCAGTTCCGCAGCCGTATTTTGTTTGGGGTTGTGTTTTTGGTTTTAGTAATTTCACTTTTTCCTGTTTCTCTCCTCTTCTCCCTCCTGACTTCTTTCCTGCCTGCCTGTCTCCTCCCTTCCCCTGCATCCTCTTTAGGCAGCTGTTCCATTCCATGCCCCAACAGGAAGCCAGGGCCTATAGAAAGACCTTGGAGCAACAGGCAGGGGTGGTCCTATCCCCCACTTCCACCCTGACATCTGGAAGGGGGCATGAGCCACTTTCTCTTCTCTCCTCAGTTTGGAGACTCAGTTTTCCCACTCCAAGGAGGAGGGACTGGAGGCCGAAGTGGGCAGTAAGATGACCAGTGTCCCTGCCTGTATCTCCTCCAAGGCCTGTGTTCACCCCGGTCTGACCAGTGCTCTAATGCCCTCTTTCATATGATTTTCCTGGTTGTAGGAAAGCGGTAGGAAAGAGGTACTCACAGAGAGAACTGGCATGGTGTTCCTCTCTTGGAGGCTCCTGGCCTCCAAGTTCAGCAATTTCTGTGCTTCTTTGGAGTGTGTCTGAGCCAGGAATGTCAGTTGAACTCAGGACTCTGATCACAGTGAGTACAAACCACACAGCAATGAGCACTTTCAAGCTTCTGTTGGCTTCTTGTTCCCAAACCAACAGGGGAAATAGGGGCTTCTGTCAAGCTACTCATCAGCGTAGAAAGGCATGTTCCTGTTGTGACCAGCAACCCAGCTCAGCAGAGCCCCTTTCGTAGAGATGTGACCTTGGACAAGCCCAAAGCCTCTCTGGGACCATGTCCCCATCTGCACTAGCTAGCCTGTAAGATCCTGTTCAACATTCTGCATTCTGTGCTTACAACCTCAAAGGATAGAAGTTTTTAGTTAAATCTAAGCATAACAACTACAACAAAATGTTCTGAATATATAAATTGGAAAATTGCTGTTGATTTACAGTGGAGCGATGAGTACTGTACACAGGAACCTGTCTACTGACACAGCCTAAGTTTTCCAGTAAGTGTAAGTGTAAGTTTCCTTTCTAGTTCAGACAATCGGGATTTGTCCTGCTTTTCCTGAGTTCTAGTGCCAGCTCCTGGAGTCACCCTAGTTCTATACTCATGGTCAAGGGGGAAGGGAGTGGCTTGGACAGATATTTCCTGGTCATCATCCCTAACTCTTCGTGGCTCACCACTGGACCTTCTGCCCCTTGCTTAGAGAAATTGAGTGCCAGGTCATGGTTCCTAAAGTTTGTCTTCCCCCCATGGGCACCCTGATAGGATTAGCTTACAGGGCAGTCAATGCCCATCATTGGAGGTCAGTCTAGGTTGATGCAGATGGAAGAAGCTTTGGGCAGGAAAAATGAGGCAGGTGGAGGTGTGGACCAGGAAAACCATTTGAACAAATCAGTAAAAATGAGACTAAGTGGGCCGTGGGGTTGAGGGGCCTAGTGTCCAGGCTAAAGAGCCCATCTTCTTGTGGCAAGTGTGCACAAGGGTTTCTGAACTGATGTCTTGCTGAGATCTGAAATCCAAAGCCATGTGAGCATCAGAGAAGGAGACCTAGGTAGGGGATGGGAGGGTAGCAAATACTATGGGAGACACAGAAGGTGTTTTTCATTTGGAACCAGTTCTGTGGCTGTTGGCCCGTTGGTTGATTATCTTTTGTGGTCAGCTCCAGGACATTCTGTTTCCAAAACAAACAAACAAACAAACAAACAAACAAAAAATATCATCTAGACCAGGTATGGAGCAGAAGCTTCTTGTCTGTCCAAATGACTATTGCTAGGCCTTGGAATCTAACAGCCCTAAACATCACTTCCTGATCACCTGGGAGGCAAGTCTACCTGTCGCTATGTCTTACTGTGGCAGCAGCTCTGCCCCTTTTAGGCTCATCCCCTCCCCTTAAGGTCTTTGTCAACTTTTCTGCCACCAGTGGATCCAAACCCATGAACCTGGAGAAAGGCAGGGAAGGTGCATGTGGTTCTGGCCTTTGGGGAGTCTCAAGCGAGTTTAGAACACCAGCCTGAAAGCAGAAGGAGAGAAGGAGAGGATGGCCTTGTAGGAGGTAACTATGGGGGTCCTTGACACGAGGAGTCAGAGGACACGACCCTGGAGCCTCCTGTCCAGGCCTGCTGGGCCTCTCTGAGGGCTCAAGCCCCAGCTCTCCCTTCCAGGAACTCTCATGCCACTCTGCTCCGTTCTTCTAGAGGTCGCCTATTTCCTGCTTCCCTGTTCTCCTGGAGGGTGTTCCAGGGGCCTGGGTCCCCACCTCAACTCCTAAGGCTGTTGTTCTGTACAGACTGCTTTCAAACCAGCTGTTTTGTGACCATATGTGTTTTGAGGTTGTGCCAGCCTGTGGCAAAACACTGTGTGCTGTATTTATTTATTCTGTTAGCTGAAGAAACAAAACTCAAACCATCCCCTTCCCCTTGTCCTGCGCCCTGCATAGTGCAGCATGATACTCAGTCCCTTGTATCTGTCTGTTTGTCTGTCTTACTTCCTGTGGTGTTGTGACCTGTTCTTTGTCCTACTTGGCTAATAAAAGATAACCTGGTAGCCCAGCTCTTGATCCGTGTTCATTCCGAGGAATGCCTATAAGGGGCTGAGCAGGTAGCATCTCAAGGTCTGTTCAGTGTCTCTCCACTCCTGCCGCTAGGGCCAGTGGGGAGAAGGCAGGCCTCCTTCCTGCCCAAAGGCCACTCCTGAGCTGTCCTTCAGCTCTCTTCATGATCTTTACCAGTCAACTTGCTGCTGATGTGAACACAGGGGAGCAGAGGGTGGTGGAGAGCTCCATCTTCTCTGGGCTGTTTCATCCTCACCGAAGCACTGGTAGCAGGAAAGCTGGGGCAGGAGATGTCTAGCATAGGACCCCCAAGAGTAATCAAGGTAACCCGAAGGAATAGGGCTGCGTGGTAGAGAGAAGGAAAGGATCCTGTAGAAAATCACAAGCAAGCCAGGGCCAAAAATGAATGATAAGGAGACATTTTTGGATCTAAAACCAAAGCTGTTTCCAGGGAAACACGTGGCCTTCAGAGGGAGTGAACTCTTGGTCTTCAGAGGTGAGCAAATGAGAAGCTGACTACAGTGTAAGGTGTATGGGGTATACGCTGCTGAAAGTCTATGTGCAGATGTGAGAATTCATGCCATGAACTCCTAACTTTACCTCTAGGCATTAGTGTGTGCACATATGCTCATTTGAGCAGGACAGAGAGACCATGGGACTGAATATTGCCGATAACTGTCAGAAAAGTGCACAACTCAGAAGTTCTGGCTGTGAAATCTTGGTTCCTTTTCATTTCAAGAAAAAGAGGACCAGAGCTCTCCATCATCCTGACTCTACTCTCCTTCCATGAGTTAGAGCCAGAAGGAGGTGCACACAGTGGGTTGAGGGCTCTTTCTGTTGGAGACCTGCAGGGAGCCATCTGTGGGGGTTTTTCCAGGAGCGGGGCCTGACTGCTCCACTTCCCAGATCACTTCTACCCTAGGAGACACATTCCTCTCTCCCCAGTGGGGCTGAGGATTAGGGCGGGGAGCATCCCCTTTCCTGGGCTCCCTGGCTGCCTGGGAGGGACTGGCAGATCAAATGTCAGCCCTGCAACCTGTGCCTCCCACATACCTCAGCCTCCAGGGCCACACCTTCCCTGGCATAGAAGGTGAGCTGGTGACACTGCAGTTAAGCTCACTCGTTCAAGCAGCATTGGTGAGCACCTGCTCTATATGTGTACCAGCCTCGGGCAGAGCACTGAGAAGCAAAGTAACAGGGAAAACATGTCCCTGAAAATCGCAGCACAGGGTGATTCAGAGGATTCACAAACAAGGAACTGTGTGACTCCAGAGAGGGTTCCTAGCTCAGCTGAGGAGGGCAGGAAGCCCTTGGGAGGGAGGCTGACCTGAGTCCCACAGGGCCAGGGTTCATAAGGTGGGTGGGGGTGTCCGGAGAGAAGCACAGTATGTCAAACCTGTAGGAATGATGTCTGACCCCTGGAAAAGCAGGGGGCCTGTTCTAGGGGTGGGTACACTTGAGACCAGTGGGGTATTGCCAGTGCACGAAGTCGAAAGTGAAGCGGTGGGTTTAGACTAAGGCAGGCCAGGACCTTGAGGGTATTGAAAGGTATTTCCAATGGAAAAGTGGGATGATCAGACTTGTATTTCAGTAACCATGTTACTTCTGTTGTTGCATGGCGATACATGTGAAGGAGCCAGTGTGACCAGAGAAGAGTCCATTGTCCATGTTCCAGGTATCATCTGGACTAGGGATGTGGGGGAAGGGAGAGAGGTCAAATTTATGTGAGATTCAGGAAGTAAAATCACCATGGTGACTGAGGAGGGGAGGGGTCAAGAATACTCCCAAATCTTAGGCTATCAACCATTGGAGAGATGAGGACACCAACTCTGTTGGGACTGGATGCTCCTGAACTCGGTGTTTGTGGGCACTATATCTAAGGAGCCTTCGGTTTATTCAAGAGAAATGTGTTGGGCCTCTGTCTGCTGCTGCTTTACTTGAGAAATACATAGTTCTTTCTTTTGGCCTGGTGCCTCATAAGTAAGTCACTTAATCTTCACGAAACTCTGAGGTAGATTCTCTTATTATCCCCATTTGACTGTTCAGGAAAGTGAGGCACAGAGCTGTTAAATTATTTGCCCTGGACCATGAGCTAGTCATGGGCCCAGCACTGTGTGGACCCGACTAATCTTGGAACCTGGGCTGTTTATCTTGATGGTTGCCAATAAGGAGAAGGTGACCAAAGCCACATTGCTAAATGAGACCTTACAGAGAGCAACTTGAGGTTGGGACCTCTGTGAAATGCTGGCTGTGACATGGAGAATTCTGATAATGGAGCTGAGACAAGCCGGTCCATGTTTGCTGTTTGCTGTGGTCTTGCTTCCTCTCCTGCAGGATGGGAACCATCAGCTATATCCAGCCTGCTTCCTGGGAGGCTTAGGTGTGATAAAGAGAAGAGGTAATGGCCCAGCAGCATGGTGCCCGGGCAGCCCATGGGGGTGAGATGGGAAGGGTAGGAGGGTTCTCCCAAAGTTCTCCCCCAGTTTGCAGTCTTGTGAGCCTTGGCCCCATGTTTCTTCAGCTTGTGTGGGGGACCTGGTTCCTTAGGTAGCCTTGAGGAAGAGACACCTGCTGAAAGAGCTGGGGGTGGGGGGATAGACCTCTTCAGGCTGGGCACCTGCCTCCCCATCTCTTTCCCACAGAGCCCCCACCCCTAATCTTTCATTCTCCTTTTGCTTCTGGGAAAGCCGATTAGGAGGCGGCCTTCAGCCCGCCCCCCTGACAAGTTTGTCTGAACTCCCAACAAAGGCCCTCAGAGCCTGCAGAGGGAGGGCTCAGGCACAGGAACCTGACACCCGGTGCTGCAGGGGTGCGGGGAGGATCACTCCAGCAGCCTAGAGGCGGCTCTGCCTACCTCAGGGCAGGCAGGAATGTACCTTCTAGGGAACCTGTTTCCAGAAAGGCCTAAGAGCAGGTAGGGGTGGGGGGCAGGCAGGCTGGGAGACTCCACCTGAGAACCCCTCACAATAGGGGAGATGACAGAAGCCTGTGCTTGGGATGTGCACACATTCATGCACATGCTGATACACATGCACACAGTCTCCTGGTCTCACATTCACAGCATACACATGCATACATCTCACTCATATAGACAAAGAGTGCTCACTTCTGCACTTGACCACAAATCCCGGGGTGTCTTCTCTCTGTCTCTCATACAGACAGATGGATGGATGTGCACACACCCTATAAAACAGCAGACACACAGCCCCCTGTCTGCCACCCAGATACTCCCCACATACCTGTCCCGCCTCTCCGCAGCATTCTGGCTTATTGACACTGTGCCCTGCACACTCAGAACCTCATAGTGTGGCTCTGTTCCCCTCTCCAGGTGGGCCTCACAAGAGACTGCAGTTGCTGCCCTGATGACATTGTCCCAAAGCCCACAAGGAGGGTCCAGCGATAGCCTGCTGCCACATGTGTGTCCACAGCCACTCCCACTCTTCCATCCCAACCAGCCACCCAGAGCCAACCCTTACACGTCTTCTCCTCCTTCCCAGGGCCACTTCCATGGGCATGTGACCTGCAGTCACACAGGACTCCAGGCTTTGAGGGCCCCTGTAGTCTGCTGTTATCTTGAAATCTTTAAACTTTGTTTTGTTTTGTTTGAGACAGGATCTCTCTATGTAGCCCAGGCTAGCCTCAAACTCATAGGGAGCCTCCTGCCTCAAACTCCTGAGTGCTAAAATTACAGGCATGTGCTACTATGCCCGGCTGAAATCCTTAGTTTTTAAACAAGCATCTCTGAATTTTCATTTTGTACTGAACCCACAAATTATGAAGCTGATCTTGCTCCCTCATCATGGTGTCTTTCAGACAATCCACCACTGAGAGCTTGCAGTGCTCCTGAATCTGTCCAAGTGCCTCAATTTCCCCTTTCAGTCAGGGATTCCCTCTCCACCTACCTTCACCACACAGCTGAGTGCAATGGGGCTAGGAATGACTAAGAAGAGCATTGTGCATCTAAACACACCCTTCCAGAACCACCTTAGGACTCAGTATCCTCCTCTGTAAAATGGGACTAGTGATGGTGCCTGGATTAGGGTTCTTTGTGAGATAACATCTATAAAACTTTAAGCACAGGTTTGGCATTTAGTAAGTGCTCAATAAACATTTATTATTATTACATTTTTGTAAGTAAACAAAAATAAATTCACCCCTATAGTCTAGTGGGTAAAAAACAGATTACTCAAATAATCACCTGCATCTAAATGTAAAGTAACAGGGTGAAAGAGAAGCACTCCTGCCTCTAACCTCATAGAGCTTACCGTGAAAGGGAAAGCCAGTCCAAGGTTAGGGTTAGAGACCAGCCTAGGCCAAAACACAGCTGTATTAGAGGCTGATGGGGCAGGGGAGTGGCTCAGACAGGGCCAGGGCAAAAATGCAGTCTGTGGTCAGGTTAGCGCTGACTTACAATGGACCAGGCTTCTCAGATTTTCCATTTCATCATCTGTAAAATGGGAAGACTTCTGCTTACCTCTAGGCTTGTGGGAATTGAGTAAGCTAATAACAGAAGTGAAGGATTAAGCTACCACTAATGACTCTAAGCCTGGCCCCCCAGGTCTTCCCTACCTTCCAGTCTGGGAGGCTGTGCCACCATCACCCATGTCTCCAGCTGCGGGAGCAGCCACCTCAACTGGGATCTCTTCCAAGAGGAGTCTGGAGATTTCAAAAAGCCCTTTGAACAACAAAGGCTGTGGGAGTGGTATTTCCTCCCAGGGGCTGACTGCCCAGTGGCTCCTTTATCTTGGCCACTGGGCTAGGGCTCCAAGAGCTGTTCTTGGAAAGAGCTTGTGTGGGGCGTGTGCGAGTGGTGTGAATTTGAGTGTGTGCGCACAAAGCTGCTCTTTGTTGCTATTACTACCTGAGCGGGCTGACAGACCTGTAAGCCTGGGTCCTTAACAAATCACCTTGTACACCCTGGGCCTCTACACAGCATGTGCTGGGCCACCAGCAGGGAGGGAATGCTTTCTTTTTTAACCTGAGATTGTCTTGAAGGAG